AGAGAAATGCATATGCCTATGGATGGCTGGTTTTTGATTAAGAAGCCAAAATTGTTTATCTGGTCCTTTATACAAAGGAAGAAAGAAAGCATCTTCAACAAATGGTGCTAGTCTAACTGGATATCAGCATGTAGAAGAATACAAATAAATCCACATCTATCATCCTGCAGGCAGGCAAGGTGAAATAAATGCAATACATATTTACATAATTAAACAAATGCAGCATAAATAAAAGTAACACAACCTTACACACTTAAAGTAACATTCCACAGCATAAATAAATGTAAAACAGCTTTACCTAGTTAAAATAATATTCCACAACAAAATCTATTCCCATTTTGTGGGCTGTTATTGTGTCCTTTTAATGGTGTCCTTTGTCATATAGAAGCTTTTCAGTTTTGTGAGATCCTCTTTGTTGATTGTTGACCTTAGTGCCTTCGATATGGGTACTCTGTTAAGAAAGTCATCTTTTGTGCCAATGTGTTCAAGGTTGTTCCCACTTCCTCTTCTATCAGATTCAGTATGTCTGGTTTTATGTTGACTTTGATCCACTTACATTTGAGTTTTTGTAAAGGGTGATAGATATGGATCTATTAGCATTCCTCTATAGGCAGACATCTAGCTTGATCAGCACCATTTGTTAAAGATGCTTCCTTTTCTCCAGTATTTATTTCTGAACTCTTTAAAAAACATCTGGTGCCCATAGGTTTATGAATTGATTTCTGGGTCTTCGACTCTATCCCCTTGATCAGCCTGTTTTTACGCCAATAATAGGATCACATACCTTTAATCCCAGCACTAGGGAGCTGGAGACAAGAGTAATATGGCTGTGCAGAGAAAGGCATATAAGGCAGAGGAGACAGGTACTGGTGCTTTTGCCTCCGAGGATTTGTGGAGATAGGATTGCCATTTCACCTCAGTAGAGGTAAGATGTACTGGCTTGGCTGCTTTGCTTCTCTGATCTTCAGCTTGAAGCTTGAGCCCCAATATCTGTTTCTGGGTTTTTATTTTTCATGTTACATTTAGGTTTGTCCCTTGTATCCCTAATCTCTCCAGAACTTTTATCACAAAAAAATGTGTTGTACTATATCAAAGGCTTTTCGCCAACTAATGACATAATCTTTTTTTAATCTTTTAGTTTGTTTGTATGTTGGATTGTATTTACGGATTTTTGTGTATGGAACCCTCACTGAAACTCTGAGATAAAGTCTACTTGATCATGGTGGATGATCTTTTTGAGGATTTTTATTTTGATGAATATGTAGTGTCCTTTCATATATCCTTTGATTAATTTTTGTTTAAGGTCTAGTTTTGTTAGATAGTAAAATGGCTATACCAGCTTGCTTTTTACGTATACTTTCTTGGAATATCCTTCTCCAACTCTTTACTCTAAAGTAATATCCATCATTTATGTTTAGGAGGGGTTTTTGGATGCAGAGGAAGGATGGATCCTGTTTTTTTAATCCATTTTATTTATTAACCATTATCTTTTTATTGGGTAATTGAAACCACTGATATTGGAAGATATCAATTACCAAAGATTGTTGGCTCTTGTTATTTTGTTGTTGTTTGTAGTGGTGGTATGTATGAATGTAAGTGTGTGTGTGTGTGTGTGTGTTTACCTTCTTTTGATTTTTTTAGGTGTGAGATTATTTACTTCCTGTGTTATCTTGTGTGTAATTAACTTCTTTAGCTTGGAGTTTTCCTTCTAGCACCTGTTATAGGGCTGAATTTTTAAATATGTGTTCTTTACTTTTTTATCATGGAGTGTCTTATTTTTTTCATTTATGGTGATTGAAAGTTTTTTGGGTATAGTAGTCTGGGACGGAATCTGTAGCCTATTAGTGTCTACAAGACATCTGTCCAGGACCTTCTGGCTTTTAGAGTCTCCAAAAGAATTAAGACATAATTCTAATAGGTCTCTCTTTATATGCTATTTTATCTTTTTTCCCTTGCAGCTTTTTAATACTTACTTTGTTCTGTATGTTCAGTGTTTTGACTATTTTGTGGCAAGAGGAATTAATCTCAGGCACTGAGGATACTATAGAAGAAAAGTACACATTAGTCATAGGAAACGTTAAATATAAAAAATTCCTGACACAAAACATTCAGAAAATCTGGGACACTATTAAATGCCTTTTAATGTTGCTGGCACACTATCTGCTCCAGTCTTCAGGCTCTGAAAGACAGTTTTCCTTTCCTTGGGCAACTGGGGAGATTTAGATGTTAGTCTTTTGGCCTACTCTAACACAGATCCTACATGGGGTTTTGATGGGGGAAGTACTTCTGTGTATATGTTTGTCTTATTGGTTGATAAAGCACTGTTGGCCAATAGGAAATCAAGACAGGTGGGGCTAGGAGTCGTGGAGGATTCTGGGAAATGTAGTAAAGACAGGAGTCACCATGCGATCCTGGAAAGAGAGGATGCGAGCCGCCCGTGTCCTTGGTAAGATAAGTCATTATAAAATATGTAGATTAGTAGTTATGGTTGATAATTAAGACTGAGTTAGCATATAAGGAATCCTAGTCTTTGGCCAGCAGCATTGTAACTAAGATAAGACTCTGCATTATTTTGGGGCTTTAACATGGCGGCAGAACTCAGGTGGCTGGGGAAAAGAGTTATCCTTAAAAATGGTGCCCACATGGCTTTACAAACTTCCACATAAAAACTTCACAAAAGCTTAAAAAGGGATTTTAGAAGCAAAAGAGGAGAGACAAGCATGACTTCTTGGTAGCAGCATTTTCTCAGGTGGTCTCTGTTTTGTAAGAGACAATCAGCAACTTGAGTGGCTCCTTTAAGGGAGGTTCCCTGACTCAGCATATGTGGAAAAACCTCTTGGCTCTTTTATTTTATTTTATTTTATTTTATTTTTTGGTTTTTCAAGACAGGGTTTCTCTGTGTAGCTTTGGAGCCTATCCTGGCACTTGCTCTGGAGACCAGGCTGGCCTCGAACTCACAGAGATCC